ACTTCCCGGAATTAGGCGCGGCACGGGAAACAGTCAACGGGCTTCTTCCCGGAAGGACGGAGACAACTTCCCGGAGGTCGATTTTAGCAGCCACGGATTTAGCAGCCCTTGCCCGGCTCCCGAGTTTATCCGACCCCCATCCCCACCCTCATCCCTTTCGAGACCCCCACCAAATTACCACCCCAGTTGGGGGATACAACCCTCGAAACCCGAAGGGGACGGCCTACATTCCCATCTAGGGGGGGGCACTGGGGATGGGGATCGGGTGAACGATACGGCTCGAATTTTGAGGGTGGAGCTTCGAGGTTGGGGGTTCTGGACGGCCGGGGTGGTCTTTTCGATCTTGGCCTCCGGGCGACTTCGCGGCGCCGCGGCGGGACAGCCCTCGGCGTCCTGCCCCCAGCGTGCCCTCGCACAAGCTCAGGGGCCGATCTTTGAGGGGGTGCTGGGTGAGGATCAGGGGCAGGAGGAGCAGGGGGAGCAGAATTTTGTTTTGTTCTTCCTCCTCCTCCTCCTCCTCCTCCTCCTCCTCCTAATCCTCCTGCTGCTGCTGCTGCTGCTCCTCCTCCTCCTTTTAATTCAGTGCCTCGCTGCGGCCTTCGTGCTTCGGTGCCGTCGAGAACAAGGGGCAGGACGGCGAGCGGGAGGAACGAGGCGCGAGCGCGCAGCGAAGGGTGCGGCGGGTGCCGTTCTCGTGCTGGCTCCGGGGCCTCGGCTACCGCTGTGCCTCCCCTGCGCTCTGCAGCTCGGCGGTCGGCCATGGCTGGCTCTTGCTGGGGCCTTCTGGTTCGCACGCGTGTCAAAGGCGGCTGCATCGCCTCGGCGGCGTCCCGAAGGGCTCGACTTCCGCCGCCAGCTGTGACCCACGTGACGCGTCGTAGCAACATCGCGCGTGCCCTGGGGCAGGGCAGGGTGGCGCACAAGGAGGCGCATGATGCAGGAGGCAAGGATCCGTCAGGCCCAGGATCCAGAGACGGATGCTGATTGTGGTGCTAGTGATGACGAGGACGTTGAGAATGTTGATTAGTGGAACATTCTTACCTGTGATCATGGTGGCGATGTCGCTGCTGGTGCTGATGTATGGTGCTGGTGATGGTGATGGAAAGCCATCGGCGAGTTTCCCAGACGCCACGGCCTCAGGACGACCCTGAGACCCGACGTCTCGACAGAGGCAGCTTTGCGAAAGGCCACTAGTGGATCCCTAGACCCCATCCTTTGTGTCTGAGATGGTCCCAGAGCAGAAGCCAGGCAACAACGCCCTGTGTGAAAAAATGCAACGCCTGGATCTCAGGGGGCCCCCACGTCCCCGGAGGCGGTAGGAGGTCTCATGAGGATTCGGGGCCCCGGCAGGGGCCGCAGGCCGACTCGGAGACTCGAGGGGGCCGCAGGAGGTGCTCCTTCCAGAGCCCAGTCAGGCACCAGATGCAGACAGAGCTCCTCGGCTTCTCCGCTCCTCTCCTCAAGACGGCTGGCCTGGGAATCGCTTCCAGAGCGGCTCTTATGGATACCGACGACGACGGATCAACAGCGACGGAAGACGACAGGCCGACCGACCGACGGCCGACCAAGATGGCCTTGCGACCGACCCGACCAACCGACGACCGACCGACGGACGACGACCGACGAATCTTGCCTTCCGCAATCGCGCGCGCAAATCAGCTTGCATTGCCATGGGTGCTCACCAACGGGTGTTTCCTGGAAGCCCGCCGCAAATGAGACCACTTTGGAAGGCCCCTTTCGGCCATGGGCAGGTGGAGTCCGTTCGGCCGCTAGCCAAAGCACCCATTTCATGGAGCACCCGCCGGGCGATGAGGCGAGGCCGACGACCGACCGACGACCGGCCGACGGACCGGCCGACGGACGACCGACCGACGGACCGCTCTAAGACCATTTAGTGGTTTGTACGACATGTTCTTAGAACACTTCTGGCCGGGGCTGGGGCTCATGTTCTAAGAACACTGTTTTTGTCTTTGGAGCATGTCTGGGCTCTGAGAACACTTCGTGGGAGGCCTATAGGACTGCCGGGGCGGTCGGCCCCTGCGCAAACTTCAGTCGGGCGTGTCCCTCTACAGGATAACTATTCCAAAACATAGCCAAAAAAAGTCAGGGGACGATGTTTGGTGATTCTTTCTTGCAGCTTTCGAATCTTCTTGGGGTATCCCTAATTTTTCGTCCAGAATCCGCCTCTAGGGGGGCATGCCCGACTTGAGCGCGAGTCGAGGCCGCGGGCCTGCTCGGCGGGGCGAGCTCCGACGCGGCTGCGCGCGGGGCGGCCGCGGCTGTGGGGGCGGCGCTGGGCGGCGCGCCCCCCGGCGGCCGCTCGTTGCGCGGCGGCCCGGCGGCGGCCACGCCGGCGGCCCACCGGCGGCCCTCGCGGAGCAGCTGCTGCCAGGGGCCCCCAGCGGCCCTCGAGCAATGAAGAAGTCACGACGGGAGGTTTTTCGCTGTTTTCGGTCTTTGGGGGCCCCCAGCGGGCCTCGGGAGCGTCAAAAGACGACTCAGGCTGCAGAGCTGGTCATGGGGAAAGGGTCGGGACCTCTGGGTTTCTGTTCCAACCTACTTTAGCCCTGATCACCAGAAAAAATTTCGAGTGCCAGAAGAAGTACCGAAACTCAAGGGTGTTCACGTGTCGGGCCCCGGGAGACACTCGCCCGACATTGTTTCGACGTTGTTTTGACACTCTTTTGACACTTTTCGGGGTGCTCGAAATTATTTCTGGCATGCGGTCCTCAAGTAGGCTGGGAGCAACATAACTCTGGGGGTCGACGTGATGAAAAAATCATCACGTCGGGGATCTGGGTTCGTAGGTTGATAGACCTCCCACCCGGACACGTCGGGGGCGCATCGGCTCCAAGTCTCCACTGACCGCCGACGGGGGCTCGGTAGCCCACCCCGCCCAGGAACGCGCGGATTCGCCATCGGCGGCCTCTCGCCGTGGCGTTGTACCGCCGAATCGTTCAGGAGAGAAAAAACACACAGACACAATGCATCGTCGATTCCCTTGAAAATATGGGAAACTATGGGAATTGGGCGGGATGACAAGAACCCAGAAAATATGGGAAAGTATGGGAAGCCATGTTATTTGTGTATATTTATCTGTGTGTCCCAGGGCCCCTTCAATCGTGCCCGATGCTTCCCCCGCCGAGCCAGTCCCCCTCTTCTCAATGCCCCTCGGCTCCTGGACCCTCAGACGATCTGTGCTCGTGAGTTGGCTCTTTGCTCCTGCCTTTCGGCCCCCCGGGGCCCGCTTTCGGGCCCCGAGGCCCGCACACGCGAATCCCGGCAGACTTACCGCCAGGGGAAGCGGTCGGGACTTTCAGGGGCGCGGATCGTCGGGAGCGGAAAAGAGGGGGGTGATGACTAGGGGGGGGTGGATATCATGGCGCGGGCCATGATATCTCCGCAGATTTCATGGCGCCTCTTCTTATTTCATTACGTCCCTGGCCTCCCCGCTGGGCCGCGCACATGCCGCAGGCCATGATTCGCACCCCCCCCTCTTGGACACCCCCCTCTTGGCCGCTCCCGAGATCGGACCGATCGGACCGGCGGATGCCAGGGCTCGCCACGAGGCCGAACGGGCCCTCCTGCGGAAGATTGGTCCTGAGGCGGTTCGTGCTTTGTCGGGCTCCCTGGGCCCTCCGCGGTCTCTGGGCACCGTCGGACAAGATTTGATTTCAGGGGTAAAAGGCCGAGGCGCAGTGTAGATGGATGAACATACGGCCTCTACGGACCAGAATTTGAACCGCAGGAGGTCGTTAGTCCTGCCGCCCCCCAAAAGTTCCTGGCTGGCAATCTATCTCTGCGCGGTCCCCAGTTGCCCTGTCATAATTACTCTTCCTCCTCCTCCTACTTCTCTTCCCCTTCTGCTCTTCCTCTGCGACGGTGGTGGCCTCGGAGTAATTAAGGATTTGTCGCAGGTGTCTGGGAAAATAGTAGCCCACTATGAGGGGTCATAGTCATAGGAGCCGATTGAGTTCTCCGTATCCCCTGCGCCGCGGGTGTCTCTGGCAGTGAACCCAGAACTCCATCACGCAGTGGATACGGATAATTACGCAGTTCGCCCGCAATCGGGAACAAACGCTGGTCGAATGGAAACGCCCGCGGGTCCAGGACCCATTTCTGTCAGGTCAAGGCACGGAGGGCCTGGCGGCGACGTCGACGGCGAGGACGAGCGACGTCGACGACTGTCGACGGTCGAATGTCGCCTAACGACTACGACGACGGCGGCGGCGGCGACGGAGGCGGCGGTGGCGGCGGCGGCGGCGTTGGCGAATGACGACGACGACTCATGACTGACGACTGACAACGACGAGTGCCGAATGACGATTGACGACGGCGTCGACGACGACGACGGCGACGGTGGCGGTGCGGGCGCCGTCGACGATGGCGGCGACGATGGCAGCTGACGACTGACTACTGACGACTGACGACGGCGGTGGAAGCGGTGGCGGCGGCGTTGACGGCGAGGGCGAGCAACGTCGGCAATTGACGATTGGCGACTGGCGGCGACAGCGACGACGACGACGACGACGGCCTACTAACGACATTATCAACTGACGACTAACGACAAGCGGCTGACGAACGTCGACGACGACGGCGGAGGAGGCGGCGGTGGCGAAGACTAGCGACGTCGACGACTGGCGATTGTCGGCGACGACGTTGACGATTGACGTTTGACGACGACGACGACAGCGACGACGACGACGGCGACGGCGACGGCGACGGCGGTGACGACGGCGGCGGCGACGGCGGCGGCGGTGGTGGTGGCGGCTTTGGCGTCGACGGCGACGACGACGTCGGACGATTCACGAGTGACGACGACGATTGGCGATTGACGATTGGCGACTTGACGGCTGACGATGGAGACCACGACGACGATGACGGCGGCGGCGGCGGCGACGTCGAAGACGGCGGCGATGACGACGGCTGACGTCCGACAATTGATGACATGACTGACCTCTGACGACTGGTGGCGACGGCGGAGGCGGTGAAAGCGGTGACGTCGACGGCGAGGACGAGCGACGTCGGCGATTGCTGAATGACGACCGCCGACTGTGCTGACGACTGCGGCTGCGGGCGCGACGACGACGAAAATTGACGGGTGAATGCGACGACTGACGGTGACCACGACGACGACGACGACGGCGACGACAAGCGGCGGCGGCGGCGGCCGTTTTACGACTGACGATTGGCTGAGGCGATGACCACGATTGGCGACTGACGGCGATGAAGACGGCGGCGGCGGGCGCCGTCGACGACTCACGACTGACGACTGACGACCACGACGACGGCGGCGACGACGACAACGACGACGGCGACGGCAGCGGCAGCGGCGGCGACAACGACGACTGACGACCTGACGACGACGTCGACGACGACGACGACAACAAGCCACTACTCAAGACGGGGACGTCGACGGCGAGTGCTGGCGACGTCGACGAGTGACGATTGACGACGACGACGACGACGACGAAGGCGGCCTCGTCGACGACGACGCCGAATATTGACGACTGACGACAAGCGACAAACGACTGAGGACTGACGACGATAGCGAGGACAAATGACGTCGATGACGTGGCGACTGATGACCTGACGACGACGACAACGTCGACGGCGACGACCGCGGCTGTGGCGGCCGCTGTGCCGGCGGCAATGATTGACGAGTGACGTCGACGAGTGACGTCGACGAGAGACGATTGACGATTGCTTGCGACGACGATGTCGATGGTGGTAACGTCGACGGCGAAAACGAGCGACACCGACGAATGGCAACCGACGACTGACGGCTGACGGCGGCGACGACGTCGACGACGATTGACGATTGACGAACATGCCGACGGTTAAGGACGACGACGACGCTGGAGGTGGCGACGTCGACGGCGTGGGCGAGCGACGTTGTCGACTGACCACGACGACGACGGCGACGGCGACGGCGCCGACGGCTGACGACGACGACGATGACGACAGCGGTCAAAGCGGGCCCGCGGCTGCGGCGACGATGTCGACGCCTGACGACTGACGACTGACGATTGTCGGCGATGACGGTGGTGGCCACTTCGACGGCGAGGACGGGCGACGTCGACGAGTGACGACTGACGACGACGACGACGACGGATGACGACAGTGGCGGCCGCGGCGGCGACGACGACGGTGACTGACGACTGGCGACTGACGACACGACGGCGGCGTCGGTGGCAACGGCGAGGGCGAGGACGAGCGACCTCGACGAATGACGATCGGCGACTGGCGACGACGACGACGACGACGACGACTGACGATCAACGACTGGCGACCAGCGACCGACGAGGCGAATGACGACGACGACGACGACGGAGACGGCGACGGTGGCGACGACGTTGGCGAGGACGGGCGACGTCGACGACTGACGATCGACGACTGGCGACTGACGACGACCACGACGTCGGCGGTGGCGACGGCGGCGACGCCGATGACGTCGGCGACCGATGACTGACGACTGCTGAGTGACGGCTGACGGCGGCGACTACGACGATGGCGGCGGCGACGTCGACGGCGAGAACGAGCGATTTCGACGACTGACGACCTGACGACTGACGACGACGACCGCGTCAATGCCGACGGCGGCGGCGGCGGTGGCGGCGACGACTATTACTGAGGGTTGACGACTGACAACTGACGGTTTGACGACTAAGGGTTGACGACCAGCGACGACGGCGGCGGCGGCGTCGGCGGTAAGGACGGGGGATTGTCGAGTGAATACGATTGTCTGTTGCCGACTGGTCGACGATTGTCGAAGCCGGCTGGTGGCGAGCGACGACGGCGACGGCGGCGGTGGCAGCGGCGGCCGCGGCGGCGACGACGACGACGACGAGTGACAATCAACGATTGGACGACTGACGACTGGCGACTGACGAAGACGACGACGACCGCGACGACGACAACGACGATAGCGTCGGTGGCGACGTCGACGGCGAGGAGAGCCACATCGTCAATTGACGTCTGACGACGACGACCACGGCTGACCACGACGCTGGCGACGTCGGCGGCCGTGGCGGCGGCGACGACGACGACAAACGATGACGACTGACGACTGACGACGGCGTCGACGACGGCGGCAACGATGACGACGTCGGCGACTGCCGATTGGCGGCTGACGACGATCGACGACGACGATTGACGCCGACGACTGACGACTGTCCACGACGACGACGACGACTGCGGCGGCGCCGACGGCGAGGACAAGCGACGTCAACGACTGATGAGTGACGACTCGCGACGGGCTCCCGACGACGGACGACGGCTCCGATTTCGACGACGTGAC